TATTTAAGTATTTTAATTTAATTTTTTTCTTCTATCTTTTTTTCTTTTACATAGTTTGTAGATGAAAAAAATAAATAAATAAAAACATAAAAATAAAAATTAGAATGCCATTTAAGAACCTGTTTTCGGGCAAGTAAGCAAACCTGCAGGGGAAGTAATCTTACCCAAAGATAAGGAGCGAGAAGTTTCTATCTATCACTCCCATCTGTCCTGAAATTCTATAAAACTTTCTGTACTACTTTGAGAAACTACTTGGAGAAACTGAGAGTCTTCGTAGATGTATGCTGCAAGAGATCAGCTCTAAATCTTTTCTGCATTTAAAGGAAACTGTTAACCCGTTCGCAGATGAAGACAAGCAGTTATTCGCCATCAGAATATTGCGTAGAATAGGGAGCAAGCTCTTCTTCTACATTGCACTATAAATTATATATTGCACTATATAATTACAATAATAATGCTTATAAATTTAAATAATTTAGCTTATGAATGGGCACTTAACTGAGGTCTTAAGATACGGAGCTCGCAATTTCCCGCCTAAGACACATCAGTTTCAAAATGTAAATCAATTAGATAAGAAACATGACTCTTGAGCTCTAATATTAAAGGCATAATACCCCTTTTTAGAGCCCTAGCATATAGGGTATAGAGTGAAGACAAAGATGTCGAAATTGCGGTCGCCTAGAAACACAAAAGCTGTCTTTTGTGCGGACACCGTAAATGCCGTGTAGTTGCCTTTGCCTCTGACATCGGACCCCAGAGCTACGAGTAGTATGTACAGTATTTGGGAAAGTGTCAGATGCTTCAACGCAGCGAGAAATGCCATAAAAAACAACAACAATACAGCGCAGCTCGCATCGAGGTGCTAATTCACCATTAAAAGAAATCAAAGTCGCAAAATCCTGGCAGTGGCATTGTGATTCGGGCCTTCTTCATCACCATTTCGATTTCGTTTCTTAGTCGCTCAATTTCCACTCATGATCTCTCACACGACCAAATATAATGCCTTCCATACACATACACAGACACACAAACACAAACACAAACACCAACACACCACAACGCACCAATAAAACTTAATTTTGTTTGTACATCACATCACATCGTACAGTCAGTCTGTCAGTCAGGCCCATAAAAGAACGGGGCTGGCTTTGGTTGGGGGGGGGGACTTGAATTATGCATTGTTTCGAAAGAGAATTTTGTGGGAGAATTTCTCATGAAGTGGCTGCCATTCATGGCTCTGCCAAAGGCCATTGATTGCCCCAATAAAAGAGGCGCGCACAAAGGCGGCGGCGGCGGCAGAAATTAGATACAGTCAACTAATTGATAATAATACCGCATTTATTTTTGAAATCTGTTAACTCTTTTATATACCCTCTTATATGGTGTGCTCACAAATCAGCTTCACACACGCCGCAATGCATCGCATTAAAAGGTATCATCGGAGCAGGGGCGCAGCTGTTTTGGATTCCAATTTCAATTTCAACTTCAATTCGCATTCATTTTTTATGTCGCAGTTGGGCCGCATAATTTTTCAATAAACATGTTGATGATTTCTACATTTCAAACAACTTAATCCCCACATGATTAATTATCAACCTGTGTCTATGGCTGATAAGCCCATTAAATCTCAACGACAACAACAACAACAACAACAGAGCGACACCATCCGCATGGAAGGAAGAACAACCCCCCAGCACCGAAGCGGACAACACCTCGTCATCCCTTTCGACACACTTCCACTTCCACACTCCGCTCCAATTCCCCTGGCGACGTGCAACGTTTAAGAATTAATCGAGTTGTTTCTGTTGTTCTATACCCTTGCCACCTGCTGAAAGAGCATATCGACTTTAACAAGGCGAATGTGTCAAAGAGCAGGCCCCGAGCAGGCCCCGAATTGGAAATGCGTTTTAAAATACAAGTATATGCGATTTGAATATCGAGAGAATTATTTAAACGCCAAAGTTAATTACTTAACTAATTAAATATTTTACTCTAATTATCGGAACTGAAATGCGTTTTAAAATATATGCGATTTGAATATCAATAAGTTAATTACTTAACTAATTATATGTTTTTCTCTAATTATCGGAACTGAAATCAAATTTCGGAACCTAAATTTTTTGTATACATGATTGAGTAATATTCTAGGACAGCTATTTAGCACTCCCATGGTTTTTTATTCAAACGAATGAGCCTTGCTTCTACGAGCGATGGTTCAGTCCTACTAGTAACTACTACTAACCTACTAGTAAGTACATTAAATTTAGACAAAAAGACACAAAATAAATATAAACGAATTATAAATTACAATTTATTTTTAATTATAAATTTATTACATTCTGTTTTCAGAATTTGTCAGTTTTCTTTCATTAGTATCTTAAGAAATCAACTCCTTCCTATAGAGGTATGTATACTTGTATTATGTGCAGACAAGATAATGTTTCCTATTAAAGACATAATGGAAATTGTGAAAACGAGTAAACTAACAGTATTTAATGATGTCACATTTGTTAGATATAGAAGAACATATCTGTCAGCCAATTGATTTCCCATCTGACTGTAGTCTAAGGTTTTATTAAATCTATAATAGATTTATGGATACGACTAATTTCATGACATAGTTTTAAAAAAGTAGCAAAACTTGCCTTTAAATTATTTGCCTGTCGAACCACTTCAGACTTCTGAAATGCAAGCGAAATTTTGCACGAAATACTTTGTCACTCTTGTATAAACCCCAAAACGAAAGTGTCCTTTTTTGCTAGTATTTGGTTTACAACCCAGTCAGAAAATGATTTACGTTGCAGATATTTCTATACCTAATTCGTAAAAAGTAGAAATGGTGTACCAGACTCCAAATATTTTATTGAACAGTACGAAGAGATGAGACGCTAAAAGCAGTGTACTTCTGTAAGAACGTTTGGATCTCAGAAAGTCTAAGTACTGCCTCGACTTTTCCTCTGTTTTGTAATTCATCAGATTTTTTAAAGCGAATGCAGAGTTTTCAAGATCAGACTCGAGCATTACATTCTGTTTATGAACGAACGCACTTGGTAAGGATTTTTAAAACGAAAGCAATTCAAAATCTGTGTTGCAACAAGGAGTTCTCCTGCTAAAGCAAGTTGCTGAGGACTAAACCCCTTTCGGAAATTGTTTTACATTTTAGATTTTCTTTTTTAAGCAATATTCATTCCACTATTCACCCCAAAACTATAGTGGCAAGGGCATGTTATCTTCGGCGTGTCAAATGGAAGCAATTTCGATTGTTGTTGCTGGTCCTTACACGTATTTTTACGCTTTTTAATTTACTGGCAACCAGCAGCCGCAGAAGGCACGGACGAAAGCACCGGGCGCTGATGAACATGAACACTGCCGGAGACGGAGCTCACACATACAAGTAGATAGAGGTACTGCGGCAGCCAAGTGGCTGCTGGTCCCCAGGGCATGTGGCAGCACATATTTTCGCTATCTTTATTATCAAATCATAAAATGTTGCCACTTGTGCTGCGAGTGCGACGATGGTGGCGACTGTGGTGCCGGTGGCGCAGGCGAGAAGGGCGCATCTCCAGACCGAAAGGGTGCAATCGAACAAAAAATGAGCAGACAATTTTTTACGGGGCTGCCAAGTGTCAAAACATGTTTTGATTGAGCGCCCCTTGTCGGGGGATGGGGATGCACGCACAATTAGTCAAGGATTCCGGGGTAAGAGTAACCCTCGGTAGCTAACCCGTGGCTTATGCGTTTTTTATGGGTTCGATAAGAGTGGCAATTGACAACCCCCGGACAAAAACAATTGAAACACATGTTTGTTCGGCAATTAATTCCAAATGTAACTCCTTTATCCTTTCGCTTGCAGTGCGCATTGCCCTCGCGGGCTTATGATTTCTCAATTACGACTATTGGTCGTATGTGCAGACTTAATACAAATAAACAAACAAACAGATTGTCGCCCAGCTGGGCTGGATGCGATTTAACTGGACTCTACATTGACGTTGAATGCGACTCCGACTGTCGTCGCAACGGGTGCTAAAAAGCGAGCGAGCGGGTGAGTGAGGAACGGCAATTAATTAGCAACAGTGACAGACGAGGCCACTGATGTGCAGTGACAATGTGGGCGAAACAACAGCAGGAGCCCAAATGCAAGGCGACCTGTCGCGTGCCAGTGGCTGCAGTATCCTTGAGCCTTCAGCCGACGGCGGAGCAGGAGGCACACGCAAACGCACACGGCGAGGCCTTGGCCAGGCACAGGCGTGCCAAATGCGACAACTGCAACGGCTACACTGAGAAAAATACATGTTCTATATTCTAGAAAGTCGTTCCTTTTACTTATTTATTGTATTTATTTATTTATGTCAACAAACATTGACTGTCACTGACTGAGGCTAGAAAAGCCTAAGAAGGAGCAATCTAATCAAATACATGCAATAATATCTAATTAACGCCCCGACCCGGTGGGGCAATACTATTTATTATCTTAAACTAGCACTAAATAAATGTTTCATATTTTTCTAAAATAAGCTTCTTCATCTTACTTAATACTTTTTTTTAATAAGCGCACGTTTCTATTAATATTTAAACGAGGCAGACTTTATTTTTTCGAGTGTAGAACGTACCTACGGGGGACTACAGCGAGCAGGGCGTAGTTTTTGGCTCGAGCTCGATTTCAGTTCAATTTTCTTTAATCGCATTAATGACAAATTTTGTCGTGCCTCATTTTAAGTGGCGGCTTGTGCCTGACCCCCGTCGGCGCTGCTCTCGCTCGACCTTCCCTAGTGGGTGGCACATCGAAGGTCAAGCTATAGTTTCTCCTATTTGTAAACGCTGCAGCCTGCAGCTGTCCGATTTTGGCAGCCACGCTAATCCAAAGTCAATAAAATGCACACTTCTCGGACTGTGAAAACAATGCGCAAAAACGCTGGACAGGTAGAGTGCTCATAAATCCCAGGTAACCAGTATATGATAGTTATATAGTATAGTAGCAGTAATACAGGAGACATTAGATATTCTTTTGGGATTTTGTAAATTTATTTTGATTGGTTTTCAGTATTGCTTAATTGACTAATTTAACTAAGTTATACAAGTATGTACAATAAATAAAAGCCTAATGTGACTCTACACACTGAGCAGGAAGAGACTCCTTTCGTACATCGAAAACACAACAATTACAACTAATTTGTACAATCGAAGAGTGTAAACAGCCCAGCCGGAACTGGGCCGCGTACAGCCATTATGGGCGGGCGGGTGTTGGTGTTGGTGTTGGTTTTTTTTTAGAAGCGAAGCTATTGACGGCTTACGCCTCAGTCTTGTAGGGTTTGAAGAGCTTGGGCTTCGGCTCAGCAATCACCGTGGTGGCTGGGGGCGGTGACATCGCGGAAGCCGGACGCTTAGCAGTGGACATTAGCAGACCTCCAGGTGCGGGCAAAGGACTTGCTGTGGTGGTAGTCGTATTCGTCGAGCTCGCTGTGTAGCTGCAGTCGACGGCGCTCGAGGCGGCTGCAGGCGGAAGCAGTGGCAGGTGAGCGTTTGAGTTGTTGGCTGGACGCAACGGGCTGAGGCTGCGATCGAAGACCTTGGTGTGATCGGAGCCGGCAGGGCTGAGCGAGAGCGTCGAGGAGTGCGGCGAGGAGGACGATTGCAGATCCAACGGGGGCGTGTGGGTCTTGGGCACGCTCAGGGCTGCATAGTTGGGCGGCATGCCGGCGGCACTCAGCATGGCAGCAGCAGGATATCCCATGGGAGCGGCCGCATTCATGGCAGCGGCTACAGACGCCGGATGTGGTGCCATGTGTGGTGCGGGTGGCACTGGACGTGCTGGAATGTGGTAAGGACTGTAGCGATATTGGCCGTAGGGTGAGTGTCCGGGCACTGGCATGGTGGGCATCGCGGTGGCCAGCATTGGATTGGCGCCGGCTGGTGCATAAGGAGGATACGGCATTCCAACGCTATTTGCGGCCGCTTGCAGAATTGAAGCGGCGAAAGCGGGATCGGAGTAGACAGCAGCATAGGGCCAGGCGACGGCGATGCGCTGACGCTTGTCCTTCATGCGACGGTTCTGGAACCACACCTTAATCGTGGATTCGGGCAGATTAAGCTGTGCGGCCAGTTCGCAGCGACGCGGACGCGAAACATAATTCTCCTTGTAGAACTCCTTCTCTAGACGCGCCAACTGATCGCGCGTGAATGCAGTTCGATAGCGACGAACTGAGGGATCAGCGGGTATCTCAGAGTTGCGACTGCCATTTAATGAGTTGTCCGGACTAGAAAGGCACTCTATAAGTAGAAAAGGTGGAGAAACGATGTCAAGTTAGCAAAGTGTTGCAACGTTCTTTCATTGCGGTTCTATAGCGAGAGGGCCTAAGCCGTCGGCTAGATGTGGATGCTTACCATTTGGCGATGGTGGTGGCGTTTGTGGTTTGCCATATTGTGTGGACATTAGGTCAACAACCAGCGGCTTCTGGTCCACGGTGTTATCGTGGTGTGCATGATGGTTCTCCATATTATACGTTCTGTATCCGTGCATATTGTTTGATATTATTGATTTTCAGATAATTTCTCACTAAAAACTCAATTTATTTCACTCTAATATTCACTAGACTCTTCGAAATTCACAGCACTCGACTGGCGACGGTCCTTAAAAAGACTGCTACGATGCGTACTGTTCGGATGTTACAGCTCAAGTGTGATAATCTCTGCTACCCCGAAGCCTTATATACCCCGGCGCGGCGGTGCGGTGCGGCATGCAGAAAGCCAGAGGCGTGCTCAGCAGCGACAAACAATGGCCGCGGCTCACACAGACGCACACACACACAGCCACATTTGCAGGCAGGCAGCCAATGAAGTCGTACATAGAACGAGATGCCTGCCGACTGATTGGTGTGTGCGGAAGCGAGTCAGCATGCTCCGTGTGGTGCAATGAACGGTGCTAATGTTTGCGGTGTTCGAACGCTGCCGTTGAGCGCTGAACGGCAGCGGGACGGCCAGACAATTATGCGACGATGAAGGCAATTACGATGCCGGAACAATGGCATAAAAAGAATGAAGCTGCAGATAAAAAGCGCACATACATACTTGTACATACACACTACCATACATCCCTAATTCGATGGAAGCAAAGCATGAGAGTAAGACGTTGCTCTGTACTTGTGTGTATGTGTGTGTGTGTGTGTGTGTATGCAGGGAGCCGTTGCTTGCTGTGCTTATTGTTGAGAGCACGCAGTTAATGGTGCATCTCTCAATTTTATACATATGTGTGTGTATGTGCGTGTATGTGTGCTGGCCTGGGCCGCCATAATTAAGCTATCATGGAGCAGCAGCAGCAGCAGCAGCAGCAGCAGCAGCAGCGACAGCGACAACGACAGCGCTGCTCGACTCTCACAACATGCGGCGCTCTCAGCTGGGCTCTGCCGCAGAGTTTGGGCCTCGCTCTCGGTGGGTGCGTGCGGGAGCGACCCAAAAAGGCAAAAATGCGGAATTTCGTATTCATAGCGAATGAGCGAATCTTTTGTTTCGCTTGTCCGCAAGCGGGTCTCTCCACGGGCGCGAATGAGACATGAGAGGCCCCCTTAATAATGGGATTTTATCTGCTTCATCAAGAATGATATGGCATAATGCGCGCGTATAGCTGCGCTCGGGCTTAGACTGGAGTTTGGGTTGTACTTACATACATATATATGCACATATTTACTGCTGCCGCCCCCATTCTAACAATTGTTAGGGTATGGGTGTGTGCGTGCGCTTTATTTTCATTGCAGCCCGCCTGATGCAGAGTACAAGTTGGAGCTGCTGTCGTGGCCATTTTTCAAGACCCAAGCACAGGGGTTGGCTTATCGATTTGGCCGACGTCGTCGTCGTCGTGGCCGTCAGGACTTTGCAGCAAATTATTTGCGCTTTTATGAAGTCTTAATGTTATGCCGCACGTTTAATGGCACCCGCACCCCAGTCAGCCAGCTGGCTGCTACGCCATACAATAAACGAAGTTTATCCAACCAAATAAAACAAAAACTTCCATCAACCAGTTACCCCCCACTCCCCTGCCCAACAACTAACTTGAAGGCGCCATTATGTTTTCTATGTGCCATTTACTTTGTTTTCACATGCATGTGCCATACAGTGGATGGTTGGTAGAGAGGCTAACTGAAGAAACGGATAATACTCTGCGATCGATGATATATGCATATCTGTATTTCATGGATGTATATAACCGAAAATTCGATTCAAAGCCTTAAACGATTAGGCAGATAGAAAGACAGATGAAAGATAAATATTAAGACCGATATTTTGGCACATAATTAGCCAAGCAGACAGAAGTATAAAATAGGCCAGAACGTCCAATTCCTTTTGATGTTTTATAGAAAAATCGGTGCTACAACATCACTCCACCTAATTCCACATTTCGAGAAACATAATTCATCTCATCTCTATGAGAAGACTTTCTATACTAGATGTGCAACATAGAAATTTATTTTAGCTGATACAAATATTAAATTAGCAGTTATGCTGCGTTAGCATTTGATTTGCTAAAGCGACGTAATTTTAGAATCAGAATAATAACAAGCTACCTTATCAATCAGTAAGCAGGCCTTAGAAAAACTCTGTTTTATTCTTTAGGCAGCAAATAAACATTACAAAGGGTAAGAACTACAATCAAGAGATTTCTATTCTAAAAGTGGAATACTTATAATTGGAAATAGCAAAGCAAATAGCTAATGCCAAAAAATATTTAGTTACATGTGAGGGAAGTAGTTTTCTTTTCATTAGAGCGACCTAAAGCCTTTAGATATTGAATTATATGGAAAAATGACTTCTTTCAAGATATGTTGTTTTACTTTAAAAGCTTGTATTGAAGACAATTCCAATTCAATGTTTTTTAAGAATAAAAACATTATTCAAATGCTAAAAAATTCTACAAATAAGAAATTAAGTTTAATAAATCAATAAACTGCCTTTTGCTCAGCAAGCCATATCATCAGAGCTGCTTAAAAGTATGTATTGGGATTTGTTTTTAACTGAGGCATGCAGCATCCGATTTAGTTAGATTTTACTGTTTTGAATTGCTTTTGGGGCGCGATAACTGCTGCCGAAACTTAATTTGAAAAGTTTTCGTTACGGAAAACATTTATTATGATGATATAATCATATTGCCGGGCTGTATCATGCCAGAGTCGGTTGTTTTGGAGGGTTGCGTAAACAGCGGCTCTGTTCTACCTGTGCGGCTTAAAGGGGTTAGGCTTTTGGAAAAAAAAAATGTGACCGATTCTTAAGCCTGCTAATTATATTGCAGGCATACATGCTCGCACTATACATATGTTTGGGCGTGCGAGCGTGCACTGATCCATATGGATGGGCATAATTATGTGTTTTATGGCTTTCTAATGAAAAGGCACGGGATCAGTGGTAAAGCCAAAGTCAAAATTTAAGTCAAATGCGATGGATGCGCGTCCTTAATCCACTAAACAAACAAATAAACAAACCAGCCGTGGACAGTGGAAACTCCTGAGCCCAACCTGGTCGGTTGGTAACTCACTCATGCGCTCGCTCACTCAGTTAGCCAGTCAGTCAGTTAGTCAGTATGTGAGGAGTCCATTAGCGGGTCACTAAAGCAAACCACTTTCTTTCTGCATTCGTTGTAAGAGGACGAAATTCTGCCTAAATTCCACCACCCTATCGATGCAGCAACGAAAGTAGAGCAATTCCTCAACCCTGCCCAGCATGCATCGCCGTTGTTACCAAATCCAGGGGACTGATTGTTCAAGATGCTGCAATAAAATCTAACTCGTCGGAACGCCGCCGTCGTCGACAATGTTGTTTGTTGTTTGTTGTTTTCGTTGTCGTTGTCGTTGAAAGAAAGTGAAATTGCTGGCAGGCTACGATTTTAAACATGAAAATTGACTAATAATGTCGCTTATGGCAAACGGATTAACGTAGAGGCACCAAAAATTCCAATGCCAGCCAATGCCAGCCAATGGCCAGCCCTTGGAACCTTCGTCACAAACTGTGCGCTCATTGTTATGCATTACTAAGTAACTCTGCCAGAATGAGGGCATCTCGTGAGTTAGTTAAAATTATTGGGTTATATTGCGCGGCAATTTGCATTAACTCGCCGCACTGCTCGATCTCTACCTAGTTGACCTGGCCAGCGAGACGAAGTCCAAGGCAAGTTAAAGCCCAAGCCTTGCCCGCGAGCGAACGGAACGGAACCGAACCCAACCGAACAGAACCCTACCCACAACCTTGCCTATTGTGAAGAGCAGGCGCTTTTGTTTTGCCCATTTGTCCGTCCGTCCGTGCTTAGGCCAGAGAATGGATTTCGGCTTTCGGCCAAGGCAAATAAACGCGACACTGCGGCATCGACAGTAAATACCAATACCCTTTATGGCAGCTCTGAAGCTGAAGCCGAAAGTGTCGACCACTATTAACCAGAGGAGAGGGCTACTGCTACCTGACCCTGACACGGCCAATCGACCATCGACCATTGTCACATCGGCCGAACACTTTCAGGATGTGAATGTGAATATGGATGTGGGTTGTGGGATACGGGATACGGGATGTCGTCTCGATGTCTTTCCCTCAATACTAGGAAGAGTTGCTCTTGTTGCTAATCATTTGTTGTTGCGTTTATTGCCATTTTGCGCATACAAATGCAAAGCGTCCATATCGCTGATTACGCCTGTCATCAACTAAGAACATGTTTACCTACCTTTCCTTAGATGGAAATTTGCAATAAAAAGGCTCGATTGATTGGCTAATTGCGGAGGAGAGTTCCAAATGTGTGCACACACATTGTTGAGTGTTCTCCTTTGAAAATATTTGCTTTCGTTTAACATAACTTTTTAAGCCCTTCAGCTTTCTTTAACAAGCGAACCGAAGTGGTTTGTACTGACAATTTATTATTTTACAGTCATTTATTTCAGTTCCTTTTTTGTTAACTTTTTAGTTTGGCTTTTGTTAACTTTTCACTCCTTTATTCCATTTCGATTGCTTAAGAGTCTTTAAGTTCACGATCTGAACCAAGATTTTCTTTGCTTGTTTTTCTGATTCCGATTTTTTTGATTTCAAACATCTATATAAGTAAGGCGGATCATATTAAAAATGTTTGTTTTTGTATCTTGTAAAGGTCTCTTGTGTGCCAGTTCATTGAATCATCAATTAATTATTAATATCTAATATAATATAATTAATATATTCCTCTGCAGGAGTTCGGCTCACAAGTACTATACAAAACTTTTTTTTAAAGCAATACATATATTTTCCGTGGGTTTAGTAAAGTGTTTGGAATTTAAACGACCATTCTTATTTCTTCATTATTTGAAGAACATAAAAACATAAAAAAAGAACAAAAAAGAAAAAATGTTGAAAGTTTGCATGCATTTTAATTTCAATTTAAAAGCTCGTATGTTTCAACAAACTAATTTGAGTTGCCATCCAAATCAAAAACCAAAGGAGAAATAAACGCAAATCCAATATAATTTAATCTAAGCCAATATAATTTGGAACTATGTGTAGCATAGTTTTATTTCTAAACTATTTTATTGCCATAGTTAGTTAA